TTAATAATATGTGATCCCAATTATTGATTTTGGGAAATATTTCCCGTGTGGTTTGATTCCTGTTCATAAATTCTCTACCTACCCCTATGTCTTCAAGGTTTTTATCCAATTTGTCTTCCAACAGATTTAGTGTTTCTGTTTTAATATTCAGCTCTTTGATCCATTTAGATTTTAATTTAGTACATGGTGATAGGCATGGATATAGTTTTAGTTTTCAGCACATGGAGAGCCAGTTTTTCTAATACCATTTATTAAAGAGACTGTCGTTCTTCCAGTGAACATGTTTGCCCCTTTATCAAAGATAAGGTGGTTGAGTGTGTTTGTAGTTGTGGTTGTATCTTCTCATCTACTACATTGATCTTCGGCTCCGTTTTGATTCCAGTTGATTTTACTACAGTTGCTTTGTAGTATAACTTCAAGTCAGGGATTGTGATGTCTCTTGCCTTGCCTTTGCTGCTTAGAACTGTCTTTGCTATTGTAGATCTCTTCTGGTTCCAGATGAATTTTAAAAGTGATTTGTCTAGATCTGTAAGGTATGTTGATGGTATTTTTTATTGGGATTGCATTGAATCTGTATAACATTTTTTGGAGAATAGCCGTGTTCACAATATTTATTCTTCCTATCCATGAGCAAGGGATGTCTTTCCATTTTCTGAGATCCTCTTCAATTTCTTTTTTCAGTGTGTTATAATTTTCCCTATATAGATCTTTCACTTCTTTCGTGAGAATAATTCCTGAATATTTCATTTTTGGTTGCTAGTGTGAAAGGTGTGGCTTTTCTTATTTCTCTGTCAGTGATTTTATTGTTAGTGTATAGGAATGTTATTGAGTTTCGAGTTATGATTTTATATCCGCTACATTGCTGAATTTATTTATTATATCCAGGAGTCTTTCAATGGAGTTTTGGGGGTCTTCTATGTAGAGTATCATGTCATCTGCAAATAATAATAATTTAACCTCCTCTTGTCCTATCTTTACCCCTTTTAATTCTGTCTCGTCTAATTGCTCTGGCTAGTATTTCCAGTACTATATTAAATAGGAGCAGTGATAAGGGACATCCTTGTCTTGCGCCTGATTTTAAGGTAAAGGCCTTCAGTTTTTGGCCATTTAGTATGATACTGTCTGTTGATTTGTCATACCTGGCCTTTATTATATTGAGGTGAAGACCATCTATTCCAATTTTCTGTAAGGTTCTTATCATTAATGAATGTTGGACCTTATCAAAAGCTTTTTCTGCATCTATAGAAAAGATCATGTGATTCTTACTTTTGGCTTTATTGATATGGTGGATTACATTTATTTATTTATGTATGTTGAACCATGCCTAGGATGAATCCCACTTGGTCGTGGTGTATAATTGTTCATCAGGATGATTTGCTGTATCCTATTTGCCAATATTTTATTGAGGATTTTTGCATCTGTGTTCATTAGGGAGATTGGCCTGTAGTTCTCTCTTTTAGTTCGGTCTTTCTCAGGTTTTGGTACTAGAGTAATATTTGCTTCCAGGAATGACTTAGAAAGGATTGCTTCCCTTTCAATTTCACTGAAGAGTTTGAGGAGTGTCGGCAGTAAGTCTTTTTATATTTGTTGTAGAATTCTGCAGGGAATCCATCTGGGCCTGGGCTCTTCTTTGTAGGTAAGGACTTAATTACATTTTCAGTTTCATTAATAGAAATTGGGTTATTCAGCAGTTTTACATCTTCTTGAGCTAGCTTTGGTACTTCATGTGTTTCTAGAAATTTGTCTATTTCTTCTGTGTTATCAAGCCTATGAGAGTAGAGGTTTTTGAAATAGGTGTTGATGATCTTCTGTATTTTTACAAATCTGTAGTGATTTCGCCTTTTTCATTCCTTATTTCATGAATTTTAGCTTTTTCTTCCCTTTTTAAAAATAAGGTTGGCTAATGGCTTATCAATTTTATTTATTCTTTCCTAGAACCAACTCTTTGTTTCATTGATTCTTTGTATTGTTTTCTTAGTCTCTATTGCATTACTTTCTGCTCTGATTTTTATAATTTTCTCCCTTCTTTTGGCTTTGGGCTTGACTTTCTCTTTTTTTTCTAGATGTTTCAGTTGTAGCATTAGGTTATTTATTTATATGCGCTCTGTTTTCCTGATGTGAGAACTCAGTGCAATAAATTTGCCTCTGAAGACAGCTTTCATAGCATCCACAGATCCTGGTAAGTTGTATTTGTATTTTTGTTTGCTTGTAGGTATTGTTTAATTTCTTCTTTAATTTCCCCTGTAACCCACTGATGGCTCAAGAGTGTGTTATTCAATTTCCATGAGTTTGTGGGTTTTTGCAGTTTCTTTTATCATTAATTTATAGTTTCATGGCGCTATGATCCGATAACATGCATGGGATAATTTCAACTCTTTTGCATTTATTTAAATATGTTCTGTGGGCTAGTATACGGTCTGTTTTAAAGAATATCCCATGTACTGCTGAGAAGAATGTGTATTCTGATGTTGTTGGATGAAACACTCTGTATATGTGTATCAAGTCCATTCGTTCACAGGTATGATTCAGTTCTGTTATTTCTTTGCTGATTTTCTGTCTGGTTGATCTGTTCCTTGGTGTCAATGGTGTATTAAGGCCTCCTGTTATAATTGTGTTACTGCTAATTTGGTTTTTCATTTCTTTTCATACTTGCTTTATATAACTGGGTGCTCTGGAATTTGGTACATATATATTTAAGATCCTTATCTCTTCCTCTTGAAGTTTTTCCTTAACCAGTATGTAATGACCTTCTTTATCTCTTCTGATCATTCTTGGTTTGAAGTTCACATTGTCTGCAAACAAAACAGCAACCTCTGCTTTTTGGGGGCGTTCCTGTTGCATGAAATATTGTTTTCCATCCTTTGACTTTCAGTCTGTGAGTATCCTTTTGGGTTAGATGGGTTTCCTGTAGTCAGCATATGGTTATATGTTGTTTCTTGATCCATTTTGCAAGTCTGTTTCTTCTTTCTTTTTTTTTTTTTTTGTCTTTTTCCTTTTTATCGGTACCAGGGATCGAACTCACGACTGCCTGCTTGCAAGGCAGGTGCTTATGCCGCTGAGCTAAATCCCCAGCCCCTATCCATTTTGCAAGTCTGTTTCTTTTAATTGGTAAATTGAGGCCATTAATATTAATGGTTAGAATTGTTATATATTGGTTTATTGTTGACATGTTATCTTTCTGCTGTTGCATCTTTATCTTTCCATTCTGTTTAATTGTCTGCTTTGCTTAGTGGTTTTTTCCTAAGTGTATCTAAACTGTTTCAGTATTCTTTGCAGGGTTGGCTTGGTGATCATGAAGTTCTTCAGCTGTTCTTTGTTATGGAAGTATCTTATTTCTCCATCCATTTTGAAGGACAGTTTTTCAGGGTACATCAATCTAGGTTGGAAATCATTTTCCTTTAGTATCTGAAATACTTCACTCTGTGCTCTTCTTGACTTTATTGTTTGTGCTGAGAAGTCTGCTGTGATTCTCATAGATTTTTCTTTATAGGTGGTCTGTCTTTTCTCTCTGACAGCTTTTAATATTCTATTCTTACATTGAATTTCTGGGATGGTGATTATTATATGTCTGTATGTAGTTTTATTTTGGTTATGGCTATTTTGGAGTTCTATATGCTTCCCTGATCATGATGTCTGTTTCCATTCCCATGTTTGGGAAATTTTCAGCTATTACTTCTCTAAATATCCTCTGGATATCCTTAATGTTGTCCCCTTCTTTTTCATTTATCCCTATCAATCTTTTGTTGTTTTTCTTTGCATCATCTTGCAGCTGTTGACTTGTTATTCCCTGATTCCTTGTTATTTTTAACAGATCTTTCCTTTCCTGATCACTAGCTGCAATTTTGTCTTTGAGGTCTGAAATTCGTCTTCACTTTGGTTTAGGTGGTTTTCACAACTTTCAGTGGAATTTTTGACTTCTTGTATATCTCTTTGAATCTGCTTCATGTATTCTGTTTGTTTCTTATATTGTTCATCCAGGATTCTGTTTTTTTGTTTTGTTCCTCCAATTTTTTAACTGTGTCTTCTTTAGATATGTTTAGCATCTCTTTGATGTCTTTTATAATTTCTTCTTTTCCCTGGGAGATTATTTCTAGTTTGAATTCCTTTAAAGCTTCCTGGAGTTGCTTCTTTATTTCAGTTGCTATTATTTCAGGTATTTCAGGTGTATGGCATATATTTTCTTCTATGTACAGACCTCCTGAGGTTCCTTAGGATGGGCTGGAAGTTTGAGATTGCATTTTAGTCTTTTGTTTTGTCATTTTCCTATATTTCCCTAGTTTCAAGTGTTATTCTAAGGCTTCCCCTAGGCCTGTTGGAAATCCTCTTCATGCCCTCAGGTCCTGGGACTCTGGCCGCCCAGTTCCGTGGATTGAGAGAGGGTCACTATGGTTGTGGTAGGCAGTCCACGACCTGCAGAGCCAGTGGAGTGTGGCAGAAAGCTGTGAAATTCCTTGGCCAGTGGGAGCAATGATCTTAAACTCCTGGGGCTCAGGATGGTGCAGGGACACCTACCTCCTGCTGCCCAGTTTCCAGAATTGAGGGCATATGCATGCCTAAGTTCCCTGGAGTTGGCAGATCACAGCAGGAAGGTGGGAAGTTGTTGCAGGCAGGCCCAAGAAGGCCGAGTGTGGCAGGAAACCGGAAAGTTCCCTGACAGGAGAGGGTGATGATTCCAAACTCCTGGGGCTTGGGATGGTGTGGAGATGCACCTCAGGCTGCCCAGTCTCCAGAGTTGAGGGCACAGTAGGGCAGGCCCAAGATCCCTGGAGCCTGCTGAGCATGACAGGAAGCCGGGAAATTGCTGTAGGCAGGCGCAAGGCCCACCCCTCTGTATCTTCCTGCTTTCCAAATGAGTGCAAAAGTTAATTTCCCTACTTATATTATGTACGTTTTGAAAGGAAAAAATACTGTTCAAGAAGCCAAACTGGCTCAGTCTCTTTGGAGTGGTGGGTGATCGGGACATGTTAGCAGCCTATGAAAAACACTTTTTTTAAAATTAGGAACCTGACCTTGTTGATGAAAGAAATGTGGAAATAACTCCAGGAGAACAGGTACTCCGAGACACTAAAGAGCAGCGGGATCAGAAAAATCGACTGAAAGAGATAGATGAAAGACTGAGGAAGATCAAGGAAAATGTGGTAAGTCTTTTAAATTTAATCATATCTAATGAAAATGCTAAAAACTTTCTATTTTATTTGACCTTTTACAACTGCTCATGTGTATTAAACCAGACATGAATTTGTCAATAAGAATTTCAGTAAAGGGGCTGGGGATTTAGCTCAGCTGTGTAATCACCTGCCTTGCAAGCAGGTGGTCGTGAGTTTGATCCCCGGTACCGATAAAAATGAAAAATACAAAAAAAAAAAAAAAAAAGAATTTCAGTAAAGGCTAAAAGCATGATTCATAGGGTTTTAAATGGTCCTTAATTTAAGTAATTTACATAACATAATAAACATGTGAGATGCTATTTATAGTTAAAATAATGATCCTTAATCCTAGTATCTCAGGTCTGACAAACATGAATATTAAAAAAATGAATAGTTCTTTATAAAACCACCCTTATGTGTTGAATTTATAGCTTCAACACTTCTACTTTTGTTCTCATATGCTAGTAATTAATTATTAATTAATTTTAATACATTGTAAATCTTTTGGAGTCTACTATATTTTTCTTGCTGACAATTTAAAGATACAGTGTTACTGATGATAGCTCCTTATTATCTAGTTGATATTCTGAACCTTTCAGAAATGTCCTATTACAATTAAAATATTACAGTTTTCAAGCTACCCATAGGATGTTTCTTGGATACTTGGTTTTTACCTAAAGTCATGAATGGAAAGGCTGAACTTGTGATTCTCCCTACATACTCTTCCAATTTTTGTCTCCTACTAAACTCTGTCTTCAGTGATCTTCAAGCCTTGTTGTATTTTAACCAGTATGGCTGATTTGTTGTCGTAGCCTCTCACAGATCTCTATGATCTTTGAAAACCTTTTTTTCCCACCTTTATTGTCCCTTTCTCAGAATTATCCCCCCGTGTTTAGCCACATATAAGCTACTCTTCATGGAATTTTTAGCTTCTAAGTCACTCTTTCCTTCTCCTCATTCCATTGTTATGTGCTGCTCTATGCGGGTAAGCATCAGATACATGATTTTGATTAAGATCTTATCTTTTTCAGTCTCCTCCTCAAGAATGCACCGCAATTGGGGCTGGGGATTTAGCTCAGCGGCATAAGCACCTGCCTTGCAAGCAGGCGGTTGTGAGTTCGATCCCCGGTACCAATTAAAAAAAAAAAAAAAAAAGAATACACAGCAATCTTGATTGAGACTCCAGGCGTTATGTCCTGCTGAGCTGCTGTTCTTAGCTCCCTGGGGGCCTAATGCAGGTCTAGGGTCATCCAATGTGTGTTGGAAAGCTGATCTAAAGGGGATAAATTCCTTGAATTTCTCTCTTTCTGCCGGTCTCTGTCTGTCTTAGTCTTGCTGTCTCTCTGCCTCGGTCTCTGTCTGTCTCTCTCTCTTTCTCTCTTTCTCTGTGACAGTTTCACTATGCAGTTCAGGCTGGTCTTGAACTTACTTTGTATCCCAGGCTAGCCTGCAATTTGCAGTGACCCTCCTGCCTCAGCCTCCTGAATGCTGGGATTATCACCACCATTCCTGGCTGACTGCTCTTTATGGCTCAATTTTGTTTGCTTTCTGTAAAATTTATGAGTATTACATTTGAGGGAAAACTCGATTTCTATTTTCTGTGTGATTTTTCCCCTTTTAGTTTGTTGACATGTAGGGATGATTAGGAGGTGTAAATGGGCCCTTCACCAGTAGTTGTGGTGGTGGTGGACATCATAAACTCGAGGTGTGGTTTAGTTTTGAAAAGTGTTGGCACTTCCAAGCCAGGCGGAGCCTGTCATCCTCCGTAATTAGTTCTGATTTCTGACTGCTGTGGTCTAGGTGCTGTGTTCCTTGCCTGCCTACTCCATGTTCAAATCCTAACCCCTGAGATCATGACGGTAGGAAGTGGGGTTTTAGGGAGGCGGTTAAGTCATGAAGGTGGAGTCCTTGTCAATGCATTTGGTGTTCTTACAAAACAGACCCAAGGAAACTTATTCTCCCTTTATACCATGTAAGAACATAATGAGAGAGTGCTGTCCTGTGAGCTATGTAATAGGCCCTCTCCAGGTACTGAATCTGCTGCCACCTTGGTTTGGACCTCACAGCCAACCGTGAACTGTGAGAAATACATTTTTATTGTTTACAAGCCACCCAGTTTATGGTATTGTTATGGAAGTCTGAACAGAGTAAGATAACTGACTCTTTATTACCTACTTTAAACATTTTTTTCTGCCATGTCTCTGCCATTAATTAATTTTGGACTCAAAACTTAGGTCCTTTAAAAAATGTCCTAATATTCCAATGTTATATAAAGTTTGGCCACACTTAGAGGCATATCAAATATTGTGAATTGGTTGTTGCCTATGCAGAAAGAATAATAAATAGAGAAGAGAAATTACTAAATAACACTTTCTAGCCAGAAGCTGTTCCAAGTATTTTATATACACAAAGTTGTCTGATCTTTACAAACACCCTACAAAGTAAATACTACTGTCTTTATCAATTAAAAAATGGAGGCAAAGAAAATTGGCAGAACGTTCTCAAGGCTTTGCAGCTAGCAAGTGGAGATGAGATTGAAATTGTTAGCATTGGGTAACTATGCTGTAATACCTTTCTGATATCTATTTGCTTTCTTTTCTGGGTTCATATTTTTAACCCCGTAACTGTTTAGTGCATTTAGTCAGTGCATCACTCGGGCAGGTGTCATTTCAACCAATGGATTCTTGCATTGGATAAATTTGATAAAATTGACACTTTTATATTTCCTATTATATATTTTATAAAAACTAACGAAATAAATATATAATTTTGGTCATCTTGTATTTAAATAATTAGAGTTGTAAATGATTAAATTAAAATGTGATAAATTCATTATAAACAGTAATAGTCATGAGCAAAATGTTTAGACTCTTCTGTATACATTTTGATTTCATAACTTTGTGTTTTATAGTCAAAAATTTTAAAGGCTATTATCTGTGTTTTTATGGCTTAGCATTTCATAATAGCCCTATGGATTAATATTGTGTACCACATGACCTGTGTCAAATTCTACAAAACTGACTGTACGTTGTACACAGCTAGGCACTGTTCTGATTGGTAATCTGAGACCTGAGTCTTTGTTTCAGTCTTATCAGGAGCCTTCTCTATTACTTCAAATGAATCATTTAGTCTCTTAGATCCTTGGTTTCCTTACTTTAAAATTAAGAGAATAATGCTAGAGAATATCTGTTCTTTTTGATTCTTGGCATATTTATGTTTGGTGTGAAGTGATATTATTGAAAATATAAAGTATGTGTGTTTCCCAAATATTTGACATTGATTAACTGGCTTATGTCTTCTACTGAAAGTTAATTTTGGAGTTTACTAACATGTATTTAAGGAGAAGGTAAGATTGTCTTTTATATAATAAAAAAATTAGTATACTGCCTACCAACAAGAGAATATAGTTTTGAATATGGCTTAGAAATGGCTAATTTTGTAGTTTTATCCTATTCTTGCTGCTGCAATGCAGCATCTCTTCAGGATCACTGGTTTGGGTAAAAGAAGTAATGTGTGGTCACTCTTGTAATCCACAAATGAGCCCCCAAACTCGAGTTCAAAACTGAGGCAAAAACATATTTTATAAAAGCAGCACTGATTTATTTTATCCTGGGCCCAGCGACACAGTGCAGTTGGAAGTTGCAAAGGCTGTATGTTGCTCTTCTATACTTGCCGCCTTTAAGTATATATCACAGTTTACAAAGTAAGGGGTTATGGGCATAGATCAGGAAATCTGCTAATGAGGAAGATCTTTGTTTTCCTTAGCAGAGAACAGAGGTCTAGCAGTAATTAACAATCCTTTGTCAGCTTATTCTAACACCACCTCTGTTATTTGTAGAGGGCAACAATGGTTAATATATCAATTAGGTTAGGTTTTACAATTCTTTACAGAGGAGAGCATTGGTTAAGATATCAATTAGGTCACCCAGAGGGGGAAGAAAAACGCATACAGAACAGTACGCCATGCCACAAGTTACAGGTATTTTGGTCATATAAACATAAGGAAGCTCTTTTTGCTAGGGTACAGCACTCACTCAATTTGTGATTTGAGGATCAAGCCTATATATAGTCTTAGGGCCCTGAAAGAATGACCTCAGAGCAGTGTGGGAGATTTTATCAAGGATAACAATATGTACATATATATGTACATAAATAGATTAGTGTGGATATGCACACAAATTATGTATACGGACATACACACATGCACACATACTGTATACATCCTGAAGAGAAATAGAAATCTAGCTTTACTAGATTTTGTCCATGTTCTGTTAGATTGTTGATTGTCCTTAAAAAAGAGGAGTCATAATAGAGATGCTTTTATTTCATTGTTTTATCTAGATATTTGTTGTAATATAATAATGTTTTTTCAGTAAAAAGTAACAACTCATGTTTTGTCTAATTTTTTGAGATACTGAGCTTTTTACAGTGATAATATGGATTCTGTTTCTTCCTCTGCCTCCTCCTCCTCCTCCTCCTCTTCTTCCTCTTCCTCCTCTTCTTTTAAGTAGATGCCACTCTTAACTTCTCGGATGAAGTAAAAATGCCTATAATGAAGTTATGTGATTATTCTTTATTTCACAAACCCCAAAATTTCAATTTTAGTTTTAGTAGTTTCAAAGAGTCGACAATCTGACTTTATTTTATTGGAACTCTAAATGGTAAAATATTCTCAAAGCTGTTTTGTTAGGATTGTTACGAAAAGCTTTCCCATGGTTCCAATCATTCTAAATGCTTTGCCCATACCTCTAGGACTTGATTGTTTTTCTTTTGATTCTCAGTTGAAGTTCATTCACGATTTTTGTGATCTGAAGTCTGTACTGTTTCTTTCCACATTCTTTCCCTTTCTGGTTGCTTGGAAGTCACCCAGCACAGCCTTGTTTGGTGAGCTGCATTATTACTGCGTCAGAATGTTTTGTACCTATTCCCTGTTGCTGAGCACTGACAGTAAGAATGTGATTCACAAAGGAGGGTAAATCCCTGTGTTCTAT